CACTACGTAGTCCTGAGTCGGGCGGATGATGTCCTTCGCTCGTAGCGACGTAGCTGCACTGTCGTTTGCGACGACTCTGCGTCGTGCATGGCTCCCAGTCTCGTCTTCGTGAGCATCACGTCGACTGTCCTTGGCCTTCGAGGCTCCCACTCGATTTGCACATGCTTTCGCTTTATCTTGCCTTTTGTGTTCTCCGCTTGGAACCTCCCACTGAAGCTGCTGGCTTCTTAGCGTCCTCGCTTGGTAGCTGTGGGTCATCACTTCGAGTCGCAGACTCGGCTTCAACTTCAACACCTTGGTCATGGCTCTCACCAGCAGTGGCCAGCTGTCGCCATCTCGCTGCTCGCCTTTCTGCAAGCTCTGCAGGAAGCTGCAGGTACGTAGACATTGTCGTCCTGATCGGCACGATCGGGATCTCGCAGGTAAGTCGTAGTCTCCGTAAGCGTAGGTGTTTGCAAGAAGTTGCTCAATATACACAGTGTTTACCGTGTACTTCTCATGTGCCTTCATGTTTCCCATCTCTGCACGTCGTCACTGATCCTGTGCGCAGGTTCAGCAGCTTATAGCCCTTTGGTCTTCTCGCTGTAGCCAAGTAGTAAGCACATCTGCGTCCTTGGAGTGAGCTTCTCCTTTCTCTGCCGAGAATCATCAGGGATGTGCGCGTGCACCAAGCACCCCCACGTGCGCAGCACGCTGAGGTCTGGCCGCTCTCCGTACAGGGCCTCGTACGGGGACTGCTGGTCCTTCAACACCGGCGTCGGCGTCTTGTTGAGCGTCTCAATTGCATGTAGGAAGGCTTCTCCCCATAATGAAACAGGCATTTGCGTAGCTTGTAACATAGATCTGACCTGCCGCATGGCGGTCTGGTTCGTGCGCTCCACGATAGCATTCTCCTGCGGGCTGTAGGGATTGGATGAACGCGTGTCGATGCCGAGGTCCTTGCAGAAGGTCTCGAGCTGCATGTTGACGAACTCGCCACCACCATCGGAGAACAGCGTCTTGATGGTCGCCTTCGGGAACTGGTTCTGGATCCAGCGAATCTGCTTCTGAATCAGCTCCGTGGCTTCGTCTTTGTAGGCTAATAGATATCCCCACTTGTATCTCGTAGCTTCGTCGATAATCAATAGAAACTGGTTTGATTTCGATATTGTATCCACTCCAACCCTGAATAGGTCGACACAAAGCTTGTGCAAGGGCTTGCAGAGCGAGA